TAAAAGAACTAGCATTTGTGTCAAGAGTACATACATTTTAAAAGCTCTTGCATGAGATAAGGCAAAAAAAGACTCGAGATCAAGAGGAGAATAACAAGGTAAAGGAGGCCCAAAAAAATGGACTCGACAAAAAATGGGATGACGCCTGATAGGGATTCCATGCCTTGGTGTCTGGGGGAAATCTCGGAGCAGTAAAGGTGGACAGTGCGGTACGCTTTCCCTACTTCAAAAAGAGAAGTCAAAAATTGAAGGATAGATGTTAAAGGAGCCAGTAAAGGACCTAGATCTCTCTCCAGGCATCAACCATGCATTACAAACAGATTTATAAGCTTGTCGCTCCCGAGATGTCTGAGAGTTGATTGCGAAACCCCAGGGATAGACCAAGATTCCCTGAAATTAGCCGTAGAAGGCCTTGGAGAATCAGAGGATGAAATTGCCTGTCTAAGTCTTGGAGGAGACAATCAGACAATGGGAGAAGGTGAGGAAATCTATTGCCATTTGTAAGAGATGTGGAATCCATGGTTGTGACGGCCATAGAAGGGTCACTATTACTAAAGTGCTGTGTTGGCGACCCAGATGAAGTAGGCAATGGGAAATTAGTCCAAACGGCGGAACTCATAGTTTGTTTCTGTATACCAATCTTGGAGAAAGCATTCCTAGCTAGAGCTGTCGGACATGGTCTCCAACTGAAAAAATTAGGGAGATGAGTATTCAATCTGGAAGCAAAGAGATCTATTCCCAACAGTCACCAAAGGTCCTGGATTTCATAAAATACCAAAGAATCTTTGAGATGACGGGAATACCAATCTGCCATGGTTTTGGAGGAGACAGGAATTCATTTTACTATACATATGTTACTTGAATGCCAAGCATGAGACAAAAATGCCAAAAATCGAAGTGCTACGTTCGCCAAAACTGTGGACTTCATGCCACCAAGATGGTTGATGTATTTGACAGCTGAAACCTTGTCTATCTTAAATAGAATCGTGCATTGGGAGTAAGTAGGGGATATGCACCTCATCTTCGTACAATGCTCTGCCTCTGAGGTAACTGGCTTGCAGTCGTTGAAGTGCTTGGTAATGAAGAGGACCTGGGAATATGGCTTAGATAGAACCTGCTAGGAGTCCGATCCTTCGCACTAAAAGTTTGAGAGAGAGTTGGAGGGCAAGAAATGTGTATTTGATTTCTTTTCTGATATTTAGCAGCTTTGATGTTGGAATATGAAGAGTCTGAAAAGTAGGATCGATGATGGGGCCCAGGTATTCTATATGTTGGGAAGGTATCAGGATGGATTTTCCCCAACTGATAAGGAAACACAAATTTTGTAGTAACGTCAAAGTTCACGAAAAAGAGGGATACTAAATGTCACATTTGCCGACAGTAATCACCCGTCCCGGGGGGCGCCCGCAACGCTGGCAATACCATGGAGGTCAGTCTGCAGCGATCATAGTGCCTGTTGCTGCTGCACCCCAGCTAGCATCCTCTGAACCTTGATTCATGGCCAGGGAACTCGCAGTGATTGTTCTGGCATTCCAAGATGACAGCTGCTGCATGAGGAGATTGGTATGTAGGTCAGAGGTTGGAGGAAGTGTGGCTGAGGGGCGGAGCCCAGACAATGAGTCCCACAATCAGTCACACTGACCTCAGGTAACCCCTTCCACAGTTGAGACCATGTTATGTGATTGAACCACTGCTTTATAAGCAAAGCACACCCTTCAGTCAGTACTTGGTTGTTGGTTCTTTTGTTGCCTCACTCAGAACTCCTAGTGTTTGTCCCTTTGTGTTTCCTGTCCTGGCTGGTTTGCTGACTTTGCCTACTCTCCAAATTTTGCTGATTGCCTGCCCTGACCTCTGGACCATCTTACTCTGATTTCAGCCTCTCCCTTCTTCAAATACCATTGCCTTGACAGAATCCTGTATTCAACCTCAGGATCTCTGTGGATCGTATGACCCGACAGAATCCTGTGCCATCACTGACCCAACAGAATCCTGTGCCATCACTGACCCGACAGAATCCTGTATTCAACCCTTGGGATCTCTGTGGATTGTATTTGTTAGGGAGAGCTGTTACTGAACCTGAGTTCCAGGACTGAGCACGACCCCAGTGGTTTGTTACACTAAATAACAAATAAATAATCAATGAATGAAAAAAGAATAAACATTTTTGAAATATAAAATGCAAACAATTAAATCACAGCCTAATTAATAAAATAAGATCAAAAAGCTATAAATCTGACTAAACAAGGTGAATAGTAACAATATATCTATAGATCCCACAGTTTAAAACCATGGGATCAGTTGTACTTAACCGAGGGTGCAGCAAAGAAAGAGGAAGTGATCTATTGGGTACCGCTTATTATACCAAGGATGCTGATTGACTGTTCTGGTTGCTAGGAACATTCACCTCTTATGTTAAATATGTAATGTTGTATAATTCTTTTATGTTATATTTCTTTGCTGCTGATGGAAATAAAGAAAAAGTGCAGTATAATAGGAGTTTCTGTGTCGTAATAAAATAGTTTTTACTCTACTTACTTACAGAGGTGGCTTGCTCAAAAGAGCCCCCTCTGCAGGTTTCTTGCAGTGTATGCTCTGGTCGTGCTTGGGTAATACTTGTTTGAAATATCAATTGCAAAATCTTTTTTTTTAAAAATGGAACATCACGTTAAAAAAGTTAAAGGACCACTATAGTACCCCCACCCGCAGGGTCCCACTCCCGCCGGGCTGGATGGCGAGGAAAGGGTTAAATCTTACCTTTTTTTCCAGCGCCGGACGGGAGCTCTCCTCCTCCTCTCCGCCTCCTCTCCTCCTCTTCGGCTGAATGCGAATGCGCGGCAGGAGCTGCACGTGCATTCAGCCAGTCTCATAGAAAAACATTCATAATGCTTTCCTATGGACGCTTGCGTCTTCTCACTGTGATTTTCACAGTGAGAAGCACGCAAATGCCTCTAGCGGCTGTCAGTGAGACAGCCACTAGAGGCTTTAGAGGCTGGATTAACCCTATTATAAACATAGCAGTTTCTCTGAAACTGCTATGTTTATTAAAAAAAAAAGGGTTAATCCTAGAGGGACCTGGCACCCAGACCACTTCATTAAGCTGAAGTGGTCTGGGTACCTAGAGTGGTCCTTTAACGCAAGTTATAGGTGATTTTAAATGTTTTTTCAATGGTATCCTTTTTAGAGAAGAGGCAGTTCCCCTTTAAATCCAGCCTCCTGGCATAGTATAATAGGCATTGTTCCCTTGTTCTCTTTATTCTATGATATATATTAAAATGAATTATCATAACAGAAATGCACGCTGTGAATCAACTTCTGACTCAACCTATACCTTTAAAGCCACTCTGTGCATTAGAGGGGAGAGACATGACAAAGCAAGCAGCATTGCTTCCAGCTAGAAAAATCTTTTTATACGCACCCACAGAGTGCGGATCCTTCTCATTACACAGTGTCTCGCAATCCTATCTTATGCCCATTCCTGTGTGAAATTAAAACATCCCCCTTCTTACTAGCCAGCACAGAAATACACATGTTGCTATCAAACTCTATTTTATTCTGCCTCACCAATACTTGTAATCCAATTCACACCCGCGCTGTTGAATTATGCCCTCAACTAACACATTTGCTGAAGATTGAGGATAGCAATCTGACACATTGATCTCTCCTACTGCTATCTGCCAACAATTTTCTGCTTTGTAATAGTCTGTTCAACCCTAAGTGAGTTCACCTAAGAATTTTCATCTGTTCTACTTCTACTCTTTATGAAAAGATATTTAGCAGACGAGTTGGTGAGGCCTGGATTCGTCGAGCAAGCAGACATTGGATTTCTGATCAAAGATTATTGATAAAACAAAGTCTACTAGGTACAAATCAGGTAAGAATCACTGTATCCACTTTATTACCTTTTCCATGTTTTACATATTTGTTCTCTCCATCCAGGGCCGGCCTTAGGCGTTTAGGCGCCCTGTGCGAAACATCCTCGCAGCGCCCCCATCTCCCCTGTCATCCATGTATAATGTGTATAGAAGTGTAGTGATTGTATAGGGGATTTATTAAATTAATAATGATTTAAAAATAAATATTCATTACACACACATACACACACAGAGTTACAGGCAGACAGTCACAAACACATACAGTTACAGGCAGACAATTACAAACACACACAGGTACAGATGGACAGTCACGTACATACTGCCACACATACAGTGTCACACACACCGTTACATGCAGATAGCCACACACACACAGGCAGACAGACAGCCACACACACACAGGCAGACAGCCACACACACAGGCAGACTGCCACACACATAGGCAGACTGCCACACACACAAGCAAACAGCCACACACACACACAGACAGAGAGCCACACACACAGGCAGAGAGCCACACAAGCAGGCAGACAGCCACACGCACACACAGGCAGAGAACTACACACACACACACACACACAGGCAGAGAGCCACACACACGCACACAGGCAGACAGCCACTCACACACACACACACACAGAGGAAGACAGTCACACACACACACACAGATAGACAGTCACACAGAGACACACACACAGGCAGACAGTCACACACACACTGCCACAAACAAGCAGACAGTCACACATAGTTACCTCTATTCTTTATGGAGTTGGAAGTAGTGCAGCTCCTGAATTCTGGTTGTTGGGGAAGCAGGGACTCCTTCCTGCTTCCCATGCAGCAATTACCCGGCACGTCTAGTCCCGTCGCACGCTAAGCCCCACCCCCACTGCAATGTTGTTGTTTTTTTATCCCGGGTGGAGAATAATGGCGCCCTGCCGCATAGCTCGCACACCCCTAAGGCCGGCCCTGTCTCCATCAACACTTTACAAGAGTGCATTTGCAAGGCATGTAAAATGCCCCAGGGTGCCTATACAGGCTAGGTGTGGAATCTTCACAAAATCCCTCAGAGGTAGGAGAAGCAGCAGGATGATGTAAAAATAAATAAATTTATTTGTAATAAAAATATATAAAAAAACAACTAAACAGGTTGTTTGAGAAAGTGCAAAAGTAATTGCATTTACCACATTACGTTTGCACTTTCTCAAACAACCTGTTTAGTTGTTTTTTTATATATTTTTATTACAAATAAATTTATTTATTTTTACATCATCCTGCTGCTTCTCCTACCCCTGAGGGATTTTGTGAAGATTCCACACCTAGCCTGTATAGGCACCCTGGGGCAATTTACACAGAGCCTGGCACGGCTCTGGAATTCGTGAGTGTATTCATTTATTCCTTGTATCATTATTATTACTATGTACAGTCTACGCTATGTACTGCTTTGTGTTATTCTAGGGTTCAAGTACATGGAATACCACCAGCGTATACCTTTTTATTTACAAGTATTGTATACACTCACAGTTTGGGACTAAAAGAGTGGTGTGTGGATCTTTTTTGGCATTTATATATTTAGTGTTAATATATCTTTTATCCTACATTTTGTATTTAAGGTGTTGGGGAACACTTTTCATTCCACCACTACCTGTGTGTCCTTTTTATTGTGTAAGCGCCATTCACTTTTCCACTTTTATTGCTTCTTATATTTAAACAAAAGCACACATACAAGGATGCTTACATAGACACACAGTAATGCAGATGCAGGGTAGTACCCATGAGGCCATTTTAGATTTCAGTATTTCTTCATGACAATACTGTCTGATATACATTGAGTGCCTTATTGCATTTAATTAGGTTGCAAGCATAGAGTGGCAGCATCAGAAGTGGCCAAGTGCTAAGCTCCAGACGATCTGTGAGCATGTGTCCAGGCAGTATGGGAGCTTTCCAGTAAAGTGTATGGGCCAAGCAAGAATGTTGAAGGGTATGTCTGGGCAAGCAATTTAATCAGTTTAAGTGCAGGTAGTTTAATCATTTCAAGATAACGGTGCACTAAAGTGTTGAATTGTTAGGAATTCTTAGTGATTCCAGGAATTTTCACATTCTAAGACTAATGACACACACACCCACTGGTGCACACACATTGACCCATACACACACAATGACAAACACTCATTGACACATGGGCACATTTAAAAGTCAACACTACAGCCCTGCATTTCAACTCAAACATTACATAGAAGTACACCACTGCATTCCAATGACAGCTTAGCATACTAATACATTCACACACATATACTTCATACAAAAACATGCTTACATTCAAACGCACAAACACTACTCACAAATACAACCCTGCAAGGATAGGCAAATGGTAGATCCCCAACTGGCAAAGTATTGCGGGAGATGTACGACAGATGGAGATTTACCTTTTGGCAATCTAGAGAATGGCCCAAAACATTTCTTGCACCAGGGCCCTCTCTACATTAGTTGCACCACTGCTCGTAATAGTGGATTCTCTCTCCACATGTGTCTGGTCATAGTGGTTAGTGACATGTATTATAACAACACTGTTAACTGCATATATGCGATTACGTAGCTTGTGAGAAATCAATGGATATAATGAAGATTACCCAAATGTAGCTTTAAATAGCCAGTAAGATGAAGACTTGTTTGGTACTAACTGCAATTTATAACAATGCATCAAGCATAAAAAATATTTTTTTAAATTGCAGACAAAAGAATATGTAAAACGGGTAAACCTAATTATGCATACGTAGCATAAAATGTGCAGCAAGAAAAACAAAATTGATTTAAAGATCAATTAATCCATCCTCCGTCTGTGTTCTTATAAGACAAAACTCATTAAGAGTAAAAATTATCAGGACCGTGGAATAAATAAATAATAAATATAGACCTAATGCCTTTAAAAACGTTTAGAATAAAACACTAAAAAAATGTTTAGAATTAGAAATTACATACATATGTAGTTATGCATGTAGTCAAATTCATTGTATTTTATATCAATAAAAATCATAATTAATGTTGCAGTGCTTTAATAACTGTTAGCATTTATTTTTATTTTCATCGCCATTGTTATGTCTTTTGTGTTTAATGCTTTTTTCCTACTTCATTGCTCCTTTTCATATGCAAACTGAAATTGCTTATTTTTTATTTATTAAACTGTATCCACACTTTACCTTACATTCCATCTTAATATGGCAATTTGTGTGTTTCTGCACTTGTTAATTGCTGAAAAGTGTTTCTTTCAAGTGTTTTGAAGGCAATCTGACCCTCCTGCTCTTGCAAACTGGATCGATTAAAGAGACACTCCACTACCCAAATGAAAAAATCGAAATAAAAATCATTGTTTAGTAAATATATTCCAGATTAAAACACAATTAATCGGGGGTATATCTAAAAACGATTGCAAAAGCTGCCTTTCTCTTTTCTGCTGAGTTTGGAAGAACTCCCCTTCTAACTCCGCCCAGACTTTCTGTAACTGACCAATCACGGACATCTCAATGCAGCTCAATGAGAAGTCTTTCCAAGGCAGGTGCTCTGGGTAATTGCTGCTTCTTGAATTTAACTCCACTGAGCTAAACAAACCAGGAAGTAGCAGAACATGTTGTCTGATTGACAGCCAGGGTGTGTGTAACAAGTTTAATTTATAAAAGTGTAAATTTCTAGTGAAATCTGCACTTTTTGTTAAATGGAAAAAGAGGACACACTCTTCACATATAAAGCATTTTAGCAAGTTGAGGTGCATTAGGGAATCAGAGTGTCTCTTTAAGTTTAAGTGAACATGGATCAAGGAGGAAATACATTCATGCCACAGTTATGTGTTGACTTGATATCCCTGGGTGGATGTGTTTTTTACCATATACCTAGACCTCTAAAGTCTAGAACAGGGGTAGTAAACCTTCGGTTCTCCAAATGTTGTGCACTATATCTCCCATAACGGTATTACAGCTTTAATACTGGCAAAGCATCAGGGGACATGTAGTCCACAACATGTGGAGTGTCGCAGGTTGCCAACTTCTAGTCTAGAAAACTGCAAGTATGAACAGCATTCCGGTTTTGCTAGAACTATCTTATGCCACTCAGCTATTTAACTGGACCTGCCAGAAATGGGGGCAGGTCCAGTTAAATAGCTGATCTATCTGAGTTACCCATGTATAGAGCTCTCATTCAGTGCTCTGAGCATGGGCTGAATACCCTGAGGTTACTCAGTACAGGGTATCTACTGATGCTCTCCAATATACTGAATGAGGACAAACCCCTGGTGTTCCCATACTCAAACCCTGAATAGTCCTGCTAAACCTAGTACAGTTTGAAGGTATGCTACTCCACCCCATACCAATCACAGTGATGTAATCCTTTGTAACTCATAAAAAAAAATTATTTCGTGCATGCATCTGTCTTACCTCTGTTTCCTGGTTATCATTTGAAAGATCAATAAGCCCTGTGTGTCATCACGTACTACTACATAGAACAAAACCACTACGTACCACTACATAGAATAAAACCACTATGTACCACTACATAGAACAAAACCGCTACGTACCACTACATAGAACAAAACCGCTACGTACCACTACATAGAACAAAACCACTACGTACCACTACATAGAATAAAACCACTATGTACCACTACATAGAATAAAACCACTACGTACTACTACATAGAACAAAACCACTATGTACCACTACATAGAATAAAACCACTACATAGAACAAAACCACTACGTACCACTACATAGAATAAAACCACTATGTACCACTACATAGAACAAAACCGCTACGTACCACTACATAGAACAAAACCGCTACGTACCACTACATAGAACAAAACCACTACGTACCACTACATAGAATAAAACCACTATGTACCACTACATAGAATAAAACCACTACGTACTACTACATAGAACAAAACCACTATGTACTACTACATAGAATAAAACCACTACGTACTACTACATAGAACAAAACCAATATGTACCACTACATAGTATAAAACCACTACGTACTACTACAAAGAACAAAACCACTACGTACCACTACATAGAACAAAACCACTACATAGAACAAAACCACTATGTACTACTACATAGAATAAAACCAAAAAAGTTGCCTGCACACTATCTCAAATCCCTATGCACATTTAAATAACGGAGGGTTTTAGCATCACTAAATCGGCCATTGATGTGGAATTACCATTTTAATGGTTCTAAAACCCTCTCTCATTTAAATGTGCACAGGGATATGGAATAGTACGCAGGTAGCCTTTTATTGTTTTCATCTTTAGTTGCAGACCTAATCTAGTGTTTTACTGCTTTCACTGCTTACATGTGTAAGTGCCTCACTCTAGTTGTACTATATAACCCTACTCTAATAACACTAATTACCAACAATTGTAGCCATAAGATCCAGTTATTTTAATATGCTAATGTGCCGCTTAGGAATTTAAACCTACTGTACAACCTGTCCATACAATATCTTTACTAGTAGTTCATATTGAGCCAAATTAAAGAATCCCAATGTATATATGTCAGGTCACTATGAATCAGTAACTACAGAGATTCTCCATCCAGTACCAGAATCAGAATTCACTAACAAGGCAAGGTCCAGGATACCTGCTTTATTATTACAAACCAATTCATAGATATTGTGCATGAATGAAACATATTCCTGTTCAATTCAACATTATCTGGGAATTCAAATACAAGGTAATATAATATAATACCTCAGTGTAAGTTGCTGAACAGTGTTATACTATGAGGGGGATCTTGATCCCCTGCTGATTTTGAACGTTTGCCCATTGACAAAGAAATGGTCAGTTTATAATTTTAATGGTGTATTTTAACAGTGAGAGACGGAATAACTGAAAAAAATCCAGAAAAATGCATGTCAAAAAAGTTATAAATTGATTTGCATATCAATGAATGAAATAAGTATTTGATCCCCTATCAATCAGCAAGATTTTTAGCTCCCAGGTGTCTTTTATACAACCTGTCCAGAGAAGCAAACAACCAATCAGAATCCAAACTCTCCACCATGGCCAAGACCAAAGAGCTGTCCAAGGATGTCAGAGACAAGATTCTAGACCTACACAAGGCATTAAAAGTATAGACTGATCATTTCTTTGTCAGTGGACAAACGTTCAAAATCATCAGGAGATGAAATACTTTTTCCCCCCACTGTTGCCTCCTCGTCTTGTTCATTAACATA